TGTGGCCCCACAATTTTTGAAACATTGGCGCGAGTTTATTGGAGCGCAACGGGAATTTTTTTCAAATTGTAAATATGCCTGCCCAAAGAAAATAAAGGGCGGGATTCCAAGTATTATATTATGCAACCCCGGAGCCGATTCTAGTTATAAAGAATTTTTGGAAAAAAATGAACACGCCGGGTTCAAAGCGTGGACGATCAGAAACACAAAATTCTATACAGTCGATCGGCCACTGTTCGCCAGAACCAATCAAAAAGAGGCATCGTAATGCCAAGAAAAAGGCCCAACGCAGGAAGATATTCCACCTCCAATGCGGCTGTTCGATATTCCATATCCTTTAATCCATTAATTCCAAGATGATTGTTATGTCCACTAAAGATTACATCTACTAAATGAGAAATATGTCAAACGGGAGGTGAACGTTTGAATTATTTTGGATTATTCAAACTCCCCCATTATTTTGGCTTATATAACAAACTTTCAACCATTCTTTCCGATGTTGATAAATGTTTTAACGCCTTGACGCCTCACAACTGGATATTCATTTGATTGCGGCGGCATTACAATAGGGACACGCCGCAATACAATAAAACGGTCTATTTCCGTGCCCCTGACCATACAACTAGTTTGTGGGTCACCACTGGACCACAGGAAAACATCTTCAAACTTTGGCGTATACGCAGGATTAGGAAACCGGTCCAACACAACGACAAATTCACATTGCCTATTGTCAAGTATATCAGATGGATCAATGTCCACAGTTTGTTCTGCAGTCTGAGTAGGGGCATCACGCATGTCACTTTCGAGGCCAGGCGTATCAGCAGCAACTTGGGAGAGACCACCCGTTTGACATAAAACTACACCCTGGATGTAAAGCCCTAACAACTTTAATTTTCGGGATAGTCGTTCATCCCTTTCAGTACCAACCTCCAGCAAATCAAAATGGAAAAAATGAGGCTCATCATACGGGAGAAAATCGTCAATCCTCCAGATAGAATCACACAACGATTTAGACGTGAATCATTTTTTTTTGTAATAACTATGTTTCCGTAGTTTAAAATAACTTCGACCGGAAACACCAGTCGCAATACAACAAAATCTGTCGTTAAATAGTTTTTAACAACGTACTATAGCATGTGCAACTCTCTCACCAATTAACGGCGTACAAAAGTAGTCATAGAAAAAGTAACAACGACACAAAATCTGTCGTTAAATAGTTTTTAACGACGTACTATAGCATGTCATAGAAAAAGTAACGACGACGCACAAAATCTGCCGTTAAATAGTTTTTAACGGCGTACGAAGCATGTCGTTGAAAGTGAATGACTTTCTATGACTGGTCATAATATGACGCGCGCTGCACGCAGGATGACGAACAAATTATCCAGCTTTGGGATTATTAATGTAGTTAATTATTGTCTCGCACTGACCATTGTACTCGACGAAATTTCATACTATGTAAAAGACTGGCGATGGGAAAATATTTATATACATTTTTATGATTAAATAAAATGCAAGTTTATGGAATTTATATTGTCTTCATAAATTCGATTTCTGAGCAGGTTTAATGTTTAATGGACTGTAATTGGTAGATAGACCAACGGACCAATTACAATAATAAGGCCCATATAATGTTTGACATGAACACTTAAAATAGGCCCATTAAACTACGAAATAAGTGGATACTCGAGGCCCATAAGACATAAACCATCATTAATTGAGGCGCGGCCCAGAGGCCCATTAGACATAGGCCCATCAGTAATTGAGGCGCGGCCCAGTAATGAAATACCGTTTTATAAAATAATTTTATTACATATTCCAAAGCAACACAAATTATGAAAAAAAATAATAATTAAATTTTTTTTTTATTACACCCAAATCCAGTTCTAGACCACACAGGCACATCTGGTTCAGGCACCGTGACATAATAATAATCAGCGACGGAATATGTGTCTGACGTCGCTTGGGTTTCTAGTTCGGAAACCGCTTTCATACCGGCGAATAGAGCATCTTGTTGCCGCTGACAGGCATTGATGAGCCGGATTAACTTTTCGACATTGTTTTCGCTAATGACCAACAAGGACCAATGCACCAGCAATAGATCCGGCTCGTATTTTAAAATCAACCGCCTAAATTGGCCTAGATCTCCGCGATCTATTTCCAAAATAATTCAAACTCCCCCATTATTTTGGCTTATATAATAAATTCCCGCTTGCGCTTGCCTTTTTAGATTTTTAATCCTGGCCGCAGATCTAGGCGCGGAGCGGAGACACTAGCCGACAACACGCCACAAAATGCGGAAGGGAGCACCAATCCGGGGACGACACGTGGCGTGGGGGGGAGCATCCCAGGTAATGTTAGTGGGACGCTCTGGGAACCATATATAACTCACTCCCTAACTCTCTAACATGGTAAACTTTTTGGAGAGTGACTTGCGTCATCAAAGGGAGTAAGTGACGTCATTGAGAGTGAGTTATGGCCTCAATGCATGAGAAATGATTAGCAAACACCATATCGTCTCTTATATTGTCTGCAACCCATTGCTGTATGGCTGTTGGAACGATCCATACTGTGTCTGTAAATGGATGAACATACGGCAATGGTAGATTAAATTAAATCCGATCATAATTGGATGACAACTTGTCATAATTTAACCAGAAATATTTTGGATCGCCATTTCGTACCAGTGCTAGTGCTTCGTCCTTGGTGCCGGCAGCAAGTGCATCGCGATATATATTTTCTTTGTTACTCTGGTTAGCGCAGCGACTCCTCTCACGGAATTCACCCCATTCCGTGTAATCCCCGTGTTTGGAGATGTATTCCAGCACATTCTGTTGGTTGTAGGCCCCTTGTACATTCGGATGGAAATGGCGACTAGTTCGATCGTGAGTAACGTCGAAGAACCGTTCGTTCTACGTTTGAAAACGGTATGAAAATTAGACAAGGGCATGGAGATGTGGTTGCCCGTCCTCGTGTAATTCATGTGCAACCCTCACATAATTTGGTGGCCTGGTTGTGAACAGCGCTCTAATTTTTTCTAACAATCTTTCTTTAGGTATAGAACATTGGGCATATGTGAGGAAAATGTTCTTGCTTTGAACTCTAAAACGACGTCGCATTAAGGCCATAACTCACTCTCAATGACGTCATTTACTTTCTTGGATGACGCAAGTCACTCTCTGCAACTAAGATATCTAGGTCTAAACAATGTATTTTTTTTTTGGCAACGGTGAAACGTGAAATTATCTCGATAAGAAAAATAAAATGACATGTCCCCTTCTTGACTTCTGTGAAGAGAAACCAAATATCAACGATCAACCTCGACCAGGGTTGGTCGGCAGTATCTTTCGACAATCAAGTCACTATATTGAGCGGCCATTATGAGAAAAATGCAATGAATATATTAAATGGATTTCTTGGATTACCTTATCTACCTTAATGTTTTATCTGTTGATCCTTTTATAGTTGTTTGGCTTAAATCTTATTTGTCCATTTATCTTTTGATAGGAGGGTTCTGCCTTTGTCTGGCAATAACCAAATCAATTGTCAAAATGCTTATATCCTTGATTGTTAGATCCTTATTGTATGAATGGCTAAGATCACGTCAGATGTTAATGATCAACTTGCTAAGTATCACAGCCATGAGATGAGGATGATCAGACGGTTTTACCTTCTACTAGGCCCAACCTATATTTATGCTCTTCTTGACGGGTATTCTCATCGGTAATCCAACGACACTCCTTATTTTGTAAATCTTCCTTCTAGAAGGATATCTTCACACATGCCCAATCTGTATCCAACTATCTTTAATGGGCTTAAGGAGCTGGTTTTAGGGCCTTTCCTTTTCTTTGGGCTGGTGTAAGGGGATTTGGAACTGGACTCATATCTTTTCCCTCCACAACAAATTGTATATATTTTTTTTTGAAGGTGAAAAATATTTTTCAAATTTAAAGAAAAATACCAGTTTAAACTTTCCAAGAACACTATCACTGTCACCGCTTTACCACCACCATCCTACTATCACTACCCCGCCACCATTCACTTTACCAAAACCAACCACCAACACCAATACTTTTTGGGTTGTAATCAAACACAAGAAAGAAAAAAATATTTATGAAAAAATATATATATATATATATATTGCGAAAACAAACAAAACGATAGTGTCAATGGTAACAAGCAACAATGAAAATTTTCTAAAATTAATTTCTGGATTTCATTCCCTGAACCCAAACAGAGTGCAATCTCCATAAATACTGATCTCTCATATTTGTGACCTTCCCATGATGCATATAACTACTGAATTGGCTCAGAAAAAAGCAAAAAGAAAAAAACAAAACAAAATTTCAAGGCAATCGTAGTGAAAGCTCATGTTTTCAGTTTCATCCCAAAAACATATTTATAATTGGACAAATTACATAGGTAGTCCCTATACTTTCTTCTACTTACCCCCAAAAAAAGTCCCTATAGTTTCATTATTGTGTCATTTTGGTCCTTGTTGTTTCAGTTGGTTCAATTTTATCTTAATTTGGCTCAATTAATTGCACCCATTACTGTTTTTGATAGAAAATGCGCACGAGAATGTCATATGTCATATGTCATATTTTTAGAAGCAAAATTATATATTTATTCAACTCAGTGAGTTAATCTCAACCAACACAGTGACTAAAAAATCCTAACTAATGTTATCAATTGGATTTAATGGACACAAAATCCAAAATGAGTGTCAAAATCAAGTAAAATAAAAATGTATGGACTAAAATGATACAAGGGGCAATATGTAAGGACTAAGTACGTCAAAAACAGAGAAGGGCTGCATGCAATTGCAAAATAACAGAAAAATATGAGGACAGACTTGAACTAGCAATCCAAAATCCAAACTATCTTTTTATCAATTGAGTTTATAATTGTATACATGGAATCAACATATCAAAGAAAGCCAATATGTATGCAACTTTCTCAATTTGATAACTGAAACAAATTCACCAAAAAACTGGAAAGAACAAGCAATGAATTTACATCTTTTAACGAAGCCGAATGAGTATTTAAACCGTCAATAATTAAGAAAAATTTCACAGATCTAGTTTTCTTGCAAAATTAATAATGCAAAAGTAATCAACACTTGAAAACAAGTTTACCTTCAATCTCTCTTGTGACCCCATGGAGAGCATACTTTTTCCAAACCCTTTCCAACGGACATCCGAAATCCACCTTCCTTCTTTGGTGAGTGAACAACATTGTCGTCGGATTCTTTCTTAGGATGAATTGTTTGAACGAGGGCCTCAATCTCTTCTTTTGCTCTTTCAAACACGTTCGGACCTTTCACTTCACTAATTGGGGTGTTCTCATTAATGTCATCACTCGTTCCATGAGTTTCTTTGTGATGATGGCGCGGTGACTTCCCCTTGTGCATGATTGCTTCAAGTTCTTCCTTAGCTCTTTCTATTAGATTGGGTGCCTTTGCATCCTTTTCTACAAAAATCAAAACCAAAATATCAATGAATATTTTGAAATTTTCTTCAAATCAAATGCTCAAGCACGGATAATTCAATAACCAATGAGTGCATGGAACAATGCAGAAGCCAAAGCAGTTTGAGTTTCCTAAGTTCTACAAGAAAACATAAGGCTAAGTTTTCCCAAACCCCGCTTTAGTAGGAGCCTCTTACATTAGATCACCAATTTTTTTACTTTGTGCACTAGATTGAGCCACGGGCACAAAATCCTCCAACAGAAGTTTCTACACAATTTTCCGAGTTAGAACCAAGTGGGAAAGTTACTCTAATTGGAGGTAACCTCAACTTCGGCTCAATAAAGCTCATAGACACATTTGTGCATTGGCTTTTTCCTTCTAAGATGAATTTTCACTTTAAATTTTGGTGTGTCCTGCTGCTTTTTTCTTCTTTCATTTTGCCTTGGTTGTGGGAGATTAAACCCTAGTTCCTACTGAGAATTGTCATTACATGTATAAACAAATTCGTAGTTTAAGTATTTACTATACAAGATAGGTTGTTGAATATGAGGAAACAACCAATCACAGACCATCACAAGTTCACAACCAAAACCAAACTCTAATTATCCGGAGCCTATATGAACATTGCGCTGAGATGCTTCTCTTACCAGGCATGATACCTAGGTTAGAGTCTCTCTTTTGAACGATGCAACTTTTTCTTTGCCCTATTCCCCTCCTACAAATATATCTATTCTATTGGATAAAGCGCACAACTTAGAAGCTTTATTATGCTTTTTGTTTTCTGAAAATATCCATAAAATCGGTAACCGCTAAAACTGCACATCCCGTAACTGCTAAACAGTTTCCAAAGTCAATCCTCATTCGTTAAACTGTCCAAATGTTCAGATGTACAATCACAAACTGCACCCACCGCTAGTGTATATATATATGTGAACATTGCAAAGAAGAGGTAATCAAAACGATACCTTGTGACACAGAATTTGGTTTCTCTGGTTTTGACTCTGCCTTTATAGTTTCATCCCTGCAATTAATCACACAAAAGCAATAAGAAATCGAAGTCCACAACTTGCAGCTCAATTTTAACCCAAGGAAAACAAGTGTTCCCAAACCTTGTTTCAGTTTTATTCAAAACTGAGTCATGACTAGTCTTTGTTTCTTTCTTTGGATGAATTGTTTGAACAAGTGCCTCAATCTCTTCCTGCATTCTCTCAAAAACATTGGGAGCTTTGACATCATTCATTGGGGTGTCCTCATCAATGTCATTGCGCAATCCATGACTTTCATTATGATGGCGATCATGTGTTTTTACATCTTTATCTGGCACCAAAACGTACAACAATTCAACATGGTATCAATAGGTATGTTTGAACCTCACCACCTAGTTAATAATTATAGTACTTGCAACATGTTTGGTCTGGTTATGAAAAATAGCCTTACCGCACATGAAGGATGTGTATATATATATTCCATTATATAAAGCGTATGACTCGGTGTGAATGACGTCACTTTCTTTTTTTCCTTTTCAAGAATACCCTTCACATTTAATTGTCACATCATATCCAATATATGTTTGAACAATTTTTCTCCTTAATCAAACCGTTCAAAATTGTTAATCAATTCAATTTTTCTCAAATTGCAAACGCATGACATTTGCACCCATCGCTAGTATCTTATAAAAGTAATACCCACATGGTATGAACTGAAGCCAAATCATGCTATTTTTTATGCCAAATTTACCCTACAGAGCTAACCGCTTCAATTCCCCTCCTCCCATATCCTCTCAACTGCTTTAGTTATAAAACTTAAAATTTTTATGAGTTGTTTCTTATCACATCAACATCTAAATTCACAAAGATACACACCAAGTATAGGGAGATACACATGCACTAGGATTATCTATATTATTATATGAAGCCTCCACCAGAGTGATCAGTGTAGACTGCATATTTTTTTGATTTTCTCAAAATAGCTGTAACTGTATGCAACTTCTTGCCTCATGTAACTATCAAATCAAATTACTATCAAAATTTTGTAACTTCTTGCAGCTTTAAGCCTGCTAATTTATAAATTATATGCTTAATTTGGCCTTCTATGCTTTAATGGGATGATTACAAACAAACAACATTGCAAAGAAAATAAGACTCTCTCTCTCTCTCTCTCTCTCTCTCTCTCTATCTCTAGTCTCTAACACACACAAAGAAGGATGATCAATCAAATAACACAAAAGGGGTTGTTCTTGATTAAAACTATTAATAATTGAAATAGCAATTATTGGGCAATGTAATCTTTGATTTGTTCAAGAAATGAGAAAAAAAAGTAACATGGGTATGAGATCAAAAGATGTGAATGAATGAAAAAAGAAATACTTACCTGAGATAGTGATTGATGGGTCTGATTTAGATTCAGCCATTGGAGATCTGTTGGAGAGGTTTCTTCAAAGTTGAGTTTTGATTTGGTTGATGCGATCTGGGATTAGAATAGATGGACCGTTCAGAGCACGCAGAGATAGCAGAGAGAATAATATTAGAATCAAAGGTTTGATATATGCCACCAGGTTTGAAAGTGCCAACTTTGGCAAAGTTGACACTATGGAGGGGTTTGGTTCTCTGCAACAGGAAGACTTGTAATTCTTTTTCAGACACTGAGGTGTGACCAATCACGATTTGACAAATAATTTCGGTTCCATTTGTTTTAATTTTAGAATTATGATTTCGGTGTGGAATTGTGATTTAAGTGTAGAGTTGTGAGTTGAGTATTAAAAAGATAAAATTTGTTTGATTATGAGTTTTGAAAAGAGTTTTTGAATTTTAAATTTTGAAAATGAAAAGAATTTTAAATTATATTTTGAGTTTTGAGTTTTTAAATTTTGAGTTGTACTTTGAAATTTTTTAGATTTATTTTTTTAAAATATTTAAAAATGTTTAAGAAAATTTTATTTTTTTAATTTTAAATATATAATTTTTATTAAAAATATTTAATTTTTTCAATATTTTAAATATTTTTTTTACTTTTTTTAAATATTTATTTTTCTAAAATTTTAAATTTTTTTGGATCACCCATATATATCTAAATCATAATAAATTATTGAGAAAATTAGTCTAAAGTCCCTCTCCTATTTTTAATAATGGAACAGATTCACAATATTATTTTATGACATCTAAGGTCCCTCAACCCCTAACACTCATATATTACAGAGAAATTTGATCCCCTCAAATCAAACTATCTCTCCATTTTTTCCCCTCTCTCTCTTTCTCTTTGCTCTTCTCTCTTCGACGAACTCCACCTCCATCGCCGGAGTTCATCGTCATCGTCTTCTCTAACTCTCTCTCCACTATCAAGCGAAGCTCAAAGCATCCTTATCCATGGATGATTTCACTCATATTGGAATCAAAGCATATCGTGATGAGAAGATAGCCTAATTGTGGGAGTGAACGACGATATCATCACTATCAAAGCTCATGATAGAAGTGATACTATCACTTTCATGTTTGAAAGTCCTAGTAAACTTCTTTTAGTTATTCCGACTCCGTCCTCTATTGGTCCTAGAACTAGGTCTCTCTCTCTCTCTTTTTCACACATACGCGCGCGCGCACACACACACACATATA